ACATCAGGGGCGCTGCTAGCTGTTTGAACGCCCGTGTGCAATACCGATTATGCCGCCCCCTGTTTAACTACGATTACCTATCAAAGAGCCTTTCTGGCTGAGCTTGCCAGAAAGGCTCTTTGAAGCCCCCTGGACGTGCCGCCCGCGTGCGGTGCACGCCCGCTTACGGCGGCCCTGCTGTACATATAATTAATGGACATCTTCATGCTATGTGAAATTTTACAAAAGTTTACAAATGTTAACTTATTTTTGGGTCAACCAACCGAATAGTTACTCTTGGCTTTGTTCTTCTACATCATTTCTTATATTTTATTTGACTACTTTTTATTGCAGTTATTATGTTTATTCAATACTTCAAAAGTATTAAATTGCATTGAATTTTTACAATTCTAGAAAAAAATCCAAAATTCTGTATAATCTAATACATAAATTAAAAAATAGCCATATAAAATTTTCTATATAAAAGTCACTTTAATTGAAAAATCATAAAAAAATTCGATGGCCGAATGGTTAAGGTGGCAGCCTACCACTGTGGGGACCCGGAATCGAAAACAAGATGAATTTTTGGGTTGTGGTAGTGGTGATCTGTCGAACTATATCGAACAGGTCCTTTACCATTGTGGACCTGGCCAACCTATAAAAGATTTCCCAAAAGGAGTCCCTCTTAAAATAGCAACAGCAAGAAGTTTAAATGAAGTAGCCAGTTTCCAGAATTAAGGAGGATGCACACATGCGGCGCGGCCGTAGAATGATGTCACTTTTTATCACCGCAGAAGTCGATTTTGTGCCGCTTTTCTCGTGCCGCAAAAGTTGGTTGAATTCTATCTTTTGCGGTGGCCGCCGCCAAAATGCGTATCTATCAGCCAATAACAGTTCGTCTGGTAGTCACGTGAGAAAATAGAATCACGTGGTGTGTCAATGGCGGAAAGTTAAACGTGGTTCACTGAGATAACTGACATTAGAATAAAGAGGAAAGGATAATGAATTTCACACAAATTGTACACAAATAATGATATATAATTTAATTCAAAGGAAAAAAACAAACGAATCTTACTCGAAATAGTATTCTTTAACGAGAGATCTTAATCGAGGAAAACTGATTTTGTACACCAGTTCTTTCTCGATCCAAGAAAATCTCTCTAATCCAAAATCTTCAATCGAATCTTCAAAATCTAGCTAAATAAAGCAAGCCATACAAAACAAGATTTGTAAACACGTGGATAACGTCAGTGTTGGTATCGTTCGCCATCTTGAATACTATACACATACGCTGAAATATAAGCAGATTGTCACTTGTGTAGTTGTGCTGCCACGCAGCGAAGATGCGTTTACGACGTAGCTTTTCATTGTCGTGCCGCATGTGTGCATCATCCTTTATGAGTTTCTACAATTGACACAACACACACTAATACACGAAAGGCCTGGAAAAGTGCCTGTGGTCTGGAGGGATAAAATACAACTTAGAGTTAATATAATACGCAGAAGTGTAACTAAGGGTGAAGATGAGTACGTACCCCGGGCACGAAGCGGGGGGATGTCACAATGAGCCCATAGATTTTGTAATTAACGTTGAATTATGATCCTGGTAATACAAAACAGTGATTCATTAGGCTCGTTTGTAGACGTGATCATCGTGTAACTTCAGACGACACATGTAATTCGGGCTGACACACTGCTCTCATTCAGTTGTACTCGTCGATCCAATTAAGTCTCATCTACATAAGCAAAATTTGATTTGCTTAAATGTTAGATACGTAAACTCGGAAAACTCCACGCAGTCAGCCTTTGTGAAATACGAACCCACAGCCAAAGTTTAAGTGTTAACGATATACACTAATAAAATTTTATAACGTGGAATAGGTCTTTGAAACAGCACAATCAATTTTTTTTTAATTGGGATTTTGAACAAAAATCTTACAAAAATTTTTATGAACTGTTTATAATGATGTTAATTTTAAATATTTTCCAAAAGTTCTGTAATCAATTTATTTTTTTTCTTAACTATTTCAGCTCTAAGGGCACTAAGAGGACCTTTTTTCTTGATCCACAACGGGGCGGCAGGGTCCGACATATCCAACGGATCACTTCCGAAAAATTCCCGAGTTATTTTCGACTCGTCTGGATTAAATCCCGGGTCTCCCACAGAGCGGTAGACTGCCATCTTAACCGCTCAGCCATCCGGACTTCTGTATCACTTGTTAAAAACTGCTTAAAGTTTATTCTTTGAATAAAAAATATCAATTTTTATTCAATTTTGAGTATTTATTCTCGGCTCTTTAACACGATTAGAATTCGATTTGATGATAATTAAAAAAACATTCGGGATATGTTCTCATCAATGACTTACACAGGTCAGCCCCATCCAGACGTTTTAATATTAATTAATTGTAACAAAGCAGTTTATGTTAATAATTTAACATTAGTTGAAATGTTAATAAAATTTTGAAAAATTTTTATAAAAAAAAAATATTTACATTGTTTTTAAATTGAATTTTCCAGAAGAATGCAGAATTTCTCTATGGTTTTGAGGCTGGGAAAAACTGGTACTACAGAAGACGACGATGTAAATGATTAGAATGTGGTCAATTCATTAAATTAGCTTTATTTCAATTATTTGATGTGTACTTTCATATAACGAATCTTTGAAGAGTTTGATGCAGAACTTTCCTGAAAATTTAAAATATTTTAATTATTCTAATATCTCGATATTCATCACATATTAAAATTTTAGAATTAAAATTGTATATAATGGGAATGTAGAATATATTAATAAAAATTTTAAATGTTTTCTTAATGCAATAATAATGAAAATTAATTTTCTGATAATAAAATAGATATAATAAACTACCATCAAATATAATTCATTTCTGAGTCGGCATTTAATAAATTTAATTGCAATTTTACAAGTATACATACAATAACTATCAGATCAGTGTGTAGTACATTCATGGAAACTGAATTTAAAAAAAAAATTCTAATAGACGATGACGTTACATATAAAATCTTAATTTAGAATGTCGTAAATACCAAGACTACAATTTTTAACAGGTCCTGAGATATGAAATTGGGTCTCATCCCTCTCAGAAAATTAAGTAGAATGAAATTTCTTTTGATATTTCATGTAATTTATATACTAGTGTGTTAAATTTTACAGGTACCGTTGTGTCTAGAACACTGACTAAATGGTTCTGCTGGTTTCAAAGCTTTTGAACATACACAACCACCACAAAATAATCACTGAACACAAATAATACATGAAATAATGAAACTCATTTAGTAACGTTAAATTATTCTAACAACAGGCGTTGCTTCTTAAACTCGAACTGATTAACATTTTGATTACTTGTTAATTAGATCACCTGTTCAGCTCAGAAACAAGAAATCTCCCCCCCCCCGTGATCTTTCGCGACAAAATGTTTCTACATATTTCCAAGAGTCGCATTGTTTCGACCTGTCAAAATTCATTTAGGATTTTTGCGTATTAAAATTTTTCAATTCCAGATTGCTTTGGCGCGAGATCAACACTAGTTTGAATTGTATCGGACAAACACATGTATTGTACAGTACTTAAGTATACGTGTTTGCCCAATAGTGTAGTGTAGATAAATTTATCCACACCAATCATTAACGAGTTTAGCGCAACGACTTATACTTGAAGCAACATTGAAACATGCAAAGTGTACATGAAAAGTATTTTAAAGTTAATTATCAACACGAATTAAATGAATATCGAATCTAGCTTCAAAGGATCTTCCTCCACTTCTTGAAATCACCACCGTCTACGAATGCACACGATAAATCTTTGTCCTACGAATTAACACAATTAAGATTTTAATGATTAATTCCTTGTAATTTTCTAATATAAAACGGTAAACACGATAGAAGCAAAGGTAATTCCATTACATTGTCTTAAAATCTACCTGTTAAGAGCGGAAGTTCTTCTTACACCGCTGTCACAAATACAATACAAAACTGGATTACAATTTCCAATTGTTTGCACAATAAGCATGAATCAAGAATTTCAATGCCAAAAGCCCGGCAGAAAAATCTTAAGCTGTATAATTAATTAAATAACAAAGTACTTGATTGCTTACTCTTCTCTCAATTCGTTATATTTCCTTCGGAATTCGCACAACGTGGCTGTTGAGAACGAACAACGCACAAGAACTCTTTTTCAATGGAAAAAGTAGGTTTATTTTCTATAATTTAAAAGGATATGCATTTTTGGCTTAATGCCCTTCTTCAGTCCTCATATTACAGTGACAGCTAGAATAAATTATTAAAATCATGGATAAAATAAGTAAACTAAAAATAAAATTATCAGTGAATGCTCTTAAAACTGGCTAAAAATAAGGTGTAATTCGTTTTTAAGGTTATTATTATCTTTTATAACCTTTTTAATCAAACTTTTTATACATTTTAACGAAATTATATTTTACAGTTCTTTGATTAAAAACGTAGTAAAAGATAATAAAAACCTTAAAAACTGGCTAAAAATAAGGTGTAAGATCATTCACTGATAATTTTATTTCTAGTCTTACTTATTTTACTTATGGTTTTAATAATTTAGTTATTCCGGCTGTCACTAATATTAGGACTGAAGAAGGTCATTAAGCCCGAAATGCACATCCTTTTAAATTATAGAAAAATACTGTAAATCTTTTTCCATTCAAAAAGAGTTCTTGTGTTGTTCGTCCTCAACAGCAACCTTGTGCTAATTCCGAAAGAAATACAATCAATCTCTATATAAAGAATTGAGACTATGCTGAAGAGAACACTAAAATTACGCACTCCACCAGATAAATTTTGCAAAGAAGCCATTTTGAAGGATGCGAATTACAAGAGGAATGCGATGAATCAACAGAAAAGAACTTAATGGATAGATATCATATTTAAAATATGCGACAATTGCCGATATGAATCAATAAAACAGGTGTACGAAGACTGACGTCAATCAAGAGCATCATTCTAAGTTACCGAGCGTATATAAAGAGGAAATATAAATTTAAACAGCAGCAAGATCCGTGTCGGTGCAGTAGACTTCTGAATTTTCAGTTTATTATTATTATATATAAAATGGTTCGTAAATCCTTAATTGTATTGCTGCTGGTCAGTGTATTAGTTTCGACGTTCTTAACAACTGATGCGTATCCAGCATCATTCGACGACGACTTTGATGGTTCGTATTTACATATATTACTTTAATTAATGGAGTTGTTTGCTATTTAAATTACTATTTATTCTAAATTTCAGCATTAGACGATATGAATGATTTGGATTTAGATGATTTATTGGATTTAGAGCCTGCTGATTTAGTTTTATTAGACATGTGGGCTAACATGCTGGAAAATTCGGATTTCGAAGACGATTTTGAATAATTTTACTTCGAGTTCTAACGCTTTTTAGAGTTGATGTGTAATGTTTTTGTTTTTTTGAAAATAAAGTAATAAAATTTAATGAGTTTTTCTGTCTCTCGTAAGGAATATTTCTGTTGTATTTCATTGTAAATTGGTTTCGAGTTAATGAAGCATTTGTTTCCAGTACAAAAGATGGAAACAAAGTTTGGTATGGTTGAATTGCTAATTTGGTATTTTAGAGGTTGCGAACAGCCATCAAGATGTGTTGTGGACAGGCACGATTTGCATTAATGGGAGTATAAATTATTAGAATCCAAACTAATTTAAATATAGATACCTAACAAATGGATTGACGAAACAACGTGTCAAATTAAGGGTTTGTAAACTTAAAATTAGTTTATTCAGGAAGTTGATGTTACAGAATCTAATTAACTTCATTGTCTGCTGCCTTTTGAACACGGCACTTAACACGTTCGAAATGTTCTAAAAAAAATTGTCACATCTTGTTCCGAATTTCCACTCCGCCATAGTTTTTGCTTTAACTAGGGTACAAAACAATTAGATTAGTTTTAGTCGGGATACATTAAACACATTGTTTTCGGGAGGAATGTACCGTATCCCATGTTGGTCAAATGAAACTGACTGGACGTCGCCAAGTGTGGCCAAAACACGCAATTTCCTTTCGGACAAGGCTTCTTCAAGATTGGGTAACCTCTTCTCGATGGGCGACGAAAGCTTTCACACCAATCTTCGAAGACAAGGCACGGCTTTTCCTTCTTCACAAAGATTATTTCCAGCATATTCAAAACCATCTAGTATCAAATGAGACGTCTCCATAACATCCAGGTTGAGCCGCAGATCTTTGGACATCAGAGTAACCGTAATTTATAGCTGCTTCAGTGTACTTTCCTTAGATATCCCAAGCGCGCGCGCGCGCGGTGTACTTTGAACTTTGACCCGGCTTAATGAGATTTACCCTAACCCCTCTCCTTCAACTCCAGGTCTATCTAAAATGTTCCACAGTATAGTTTACCCCACATCAGATTTGTAATATAAAAATTTTCAAGTTCTATACATTCCCACTATGGATTTCTAGTTCACACGCCTATAGAATTTTCATCTTCAGTCATCCTTAAGTATAATTTTCATACAACAGTAGTTTTGTAAATATGGAGTACTAAATTATCAATCCAATAACACATTTTCATTTGTCTTTTAATTAGCTCAAAACAGTAAAATTTAAAAAAAGCCAAATTCAATTTTATTGAATTAGCAAAACCTTATTTACCTACTTACATAGTAAAGTGTATTTTTTTTTTCATTGTTTGGACAGATATACAACAAGAATATCTCAGATTAATATTGCGTAAATACAAAAAACGTTAAATATAGATTAATTCGAAGGATATCATGCAGTATCTCATTCCGTTTTCTGATCCATCAAGAAGTCTGCAACTGTTTGTGTCTGCTTGTCTGTGCGAATCGAGTAAACAACAGTACTTTGTCTTATTTGCAGCTTCGAAAACGGTGTTTTATGCAGAAGGATTACTGCACAAATCTCACTCAAATCACAATGTAGATACAAAAATTTACAAAATTTTAAACATTCAACAATTTGTTATTTTTCCACGAAGAAAAATCCACATTTATTGTTGAACAANCACGAAGAAAAATCTTACAAAATCATTTTTCATTTATTTATATATATATATAATATATTTTTTTTCTTTTTGATCAAGTGTTGTAAAAAATTAACTGTATTGCTTAATGGACAACACAGATGTAATTTTTCGAAAAAATACCAATTTATTACAATGTCAAATCTTACTGCAAACTAATTTGAAAAAAATTTTATGTAACATATAAAAAAGGAATGACAGAAAAAAAAATGCAGAATTCGAACCATTTTGTATATAAACTAAAGCAAAGGAAACTTAAATAAAGAGTAGAAAATACATTTATGAAAAGTATAAATCATGTTTTCACTTCGAGCCATAACAATTCCTACGTGGACTATCAGAATGACAAGTTTTAAAAAAGAAAAGCAAGCAAAAGAGAACAGGTCTAAGTTTAAAAATCATTTTCAAAACAATGCTCTAGATTATTATTATTAACAATTTTCCATTCTTCCTGGAGGATATCTTGCCATATCCAGAAGAACAGTTGCAATTTTTTCAAATTGTAATTTTTTTTTTTAATTTGTTAAACAAAGAATAAATTCTTTAAATATAATCATAAAAAAAATGTATAATTAAATTCTAAATATAAATTCCTATTTAAAAAAAGGCGTTCTTAGCAATATCAAATCAATTGCACGTTATCATCATCAAAGCATGGGGAATGCACATTCTTGTTAACAAATATGGCGATACAAGTTTCATTACAACAATAAAACATGCTTGACTTTTTGCCTCAATACAAATATCAAAGTCGACAGCATTGTGAGTTTCCAAACCGAGACGTGAAGCGCTGAGTCGTTTCGTCTTAAAACTTTCCAAATTATGAATTCTCCTGTATTATCGGAAGAGTTTTGTTTAACACTTTTTCGGAAAAATAAGTTTCCATACTGCTAAAAGTGAATTTTAGTTTAGCGGAAGAGAAAAGTAGCACAGCTAAGAGCAATGTAGGCACAAGATTATGAACAAATGCCAATAAAAATGTGCCTTTAGTAATTTGATAATGCAGAAATTTGAGCTAAGCTGTGTTAATTAATTAATAATTAATATAATTTTTTTTTGAGCTAGATTTGTTCACAGTGCTGCACATGTGACCCAACAGCTATAGCTGTGGTGAAGTCAAAAGTTAATAAAAGTTCTTAGTTAATGGGTTCCACATAGTTAGCTGGCAACATTCCGTTTTGTCCTGTGCGTTTCACTGTTCCTGTCATCCATCCTTTGTCGATTGAAACACAATTGATTATAACATCACCATCCTTAAAACTCACTTCGTCGGAATCCTGTGCTGAGTAATCATACATGGCACGAAATGTCTAAAGAAAAATGTAAAAACACATGAAAAAATATGTTTAATTACCGAATAGAGCAAATTATCTAAAATCATATTATTAAGATACAGGTATACCTCGCCTTATGTTGGTAATTGGTTCCAGGAGAGGCGACGTAAGTCAAATTTACTTGTCTCCGAATCTACTTGTCACTAGGCTAAACCATAAATTACCATTCCCGGTTCTGTATTTTATTTATTAACACATTTTTAATAATATATGGTTAATAAGGATCTATTTTAAGCTTACGAACAAATAAATTTTAGTTTTTAATATAGTACAGAAAAAAGTAATCTAAATTTACAAATGCATGTACTGTAAATACAGTACATACTTGTAAATGTATATAGTTTAATATGATTTTATGTGCTTTAAACGCTTTTCTAGTGATATTACGACTTCTGATTTTGTGGTGGACAGACGTAAAGTCGAATAAAATGACTTAAACTTGATTTTTATTTTTCCATATACTTTTTTGACAAACGACGTATAATCGGGAATGACGTAAGTCGAGGTATACCTGTATTTATAAAATTAATATAAAAGTCTGAAAAGCTATCACTCAAAGACAATAATAATTCTTGTTCACACATGATATTCATTTTTCAAATGACTTTGATTATTTTTTTTTATGTAAATTAAATTCAGATTTGTCTCTAAAGGTAGATCAAATTGGCATAATTACCATTAGACAACTATACAATAGTGTATTTCTAGCCCAAAAAAATAGCCTTACTCTTAAGATATGTTGGGCATTGAAACTAGGATACGTTTGTTTTATACAAAAGATAAATACACACAAAAACAAAATTGTTTTATCAAACTTACCCCTGCCGGTCTCATCATACCTCCCATATCTTGTGAATCTATTAAAAGAAAAAAAGTATTTACAAATAATACAACTGAAGAAAATACATTAAATATTCTAACTTCAATAACAAAAATTTTATAAAAATATCATCTCAACTGATGGATTTCTGTGAAAATCAAATAATACTTGTTATATTATTGTCACATTGTTTAGAAATTCACAGTAATTTATTTATATTAAAATCAATTATTATGTATTTGCAATCATCTTATTGTACTGGTACCTAATTTACATTTTAAGCAAAAGAGGTTTTGGAATGAAACTTGAAATGTATCTGTATAGAACAGTGTTTCTCAACGGGGGCGATATCGCCCCATGTGGGCGTTTTTCCATGTTCAGGGGGTGATTTGTAAAATTTATATTTTGGGGGCAAAAAACAATTTTCTGGGCGATATAGTAAAACATTATATTAAGAATAATTAGATATTTTATTCATTATATTGTACAATAATTAAACAAATAACATTATACTAGTCACTAGTCTATTCAGTGTAGTATGAATTTGGCGTTAGCCTTGGCCCTCGGCATCAGAATTTTGAAGTGAAGGGGGCAATACTATGTAAGGGGCGATGATTCGTTATAGGTTGAGAAACACTGGTATAGAATGTAAATTAAAAAAGATTCAAATTTTTAAGTTTGTACATCTGTTATAGTGTTGCCTATGATAACTATTGCTTTCTCTTCTCCCAATAATAACTGTCCTCAAAGATGCCTGTCGCCACGTAATGGCACCTGCAGATACCCAATGCTAAATGTAATTATACAAAGCTTAAACCAGATTAACTGCTGAATTATCAGGCTATAATATGACCAAGTTACAATAATTAAATACAAAATAATTTATCTAGAGGTAGATGATTTTAATTAAAGTGATTGGTAATATTTTTATGACAATCTCAGAGCAAGAATGATCCATGTCAGTTAAAACTTTACACAATATTTCACATATATTCTTTTTGGACATGGTATGTAATAAATCCTACTTGAATCTGTATTGCATTAGATAAAGCAGATGCTTTTGAGCAAACTCCACATGTTATGGCTATAATGCCAAAAACTGGACTTAGATCACTCTTGCTCCGAGGTTGCCTCATGTATATACCATGCTGGAGTAAAAGTGATAGCTGGCTGAGTGCTATAGAGGAAGGTAGCAGGTGTTTAGATTGTCTCTAGTTGGCACTGTGACCCCTAAGGTTACATCTAATTTAACAGTTCCATATGCAAAGATTGGATGGAGGTAGCATAATTGGCAATGTAACTGCATGGTTTGCAGGAGCTGTGGGTTAGAGTCTTGCTCCGGGTCAATTCTCTTTTTCCAGAAATTCTAAATTAAAAATTATCACATGATGGTGGCCTAACTGCCAATCCTAGACAAATTATTTCATATCTAATTATTAGCTTAACCATATTATAGCCCAATAATTTGGCAGTTTGGTTTGAATTAATATAATTGGGTTAGTAGTGTTTATAGATTTTAAAAAATTTCTTTTTAAACTTTGATTATCTACAAATTATGTAGTCTGAGGAGTATTTTTTACCTGAAAATTAGATATCATTTATTAATTAAACTAATTTTACGATGGTTATAACAGATGTGCTTTAATTAAAATGTAAATTAAAAAAATCTCAATGTTAAATCTTCTACAGAACTGAACCACAACAATGTATATGCAAATTTAAACCAAGTGATCATCATAAGATGTGTTACACATACGGACCAAATAAGGAGTTAGAAGTGTTTGAAATATTCAAAGCAGACCAGCAAGGGCGATGGATTAACTTTAAAGATGAAAAACACATATCACAAACATAGCAAACACTTTTTGATGCAACTCTATGACCTTAATTACATCAATAGGAAATAGTCACACCCAATTTGTCAGCAGTCAAATTTAAACAATGCCAATGTTCTTGGGAGCATTCCATTCTAGAAGTTTGAACCTGAAGCAGATCAAAAACATTTGTAAAGTGAAGTATACACTCTTCTGCTGGACCCCTGTTATAGGTTTGAAGGTGTATTATATTTTAAAAAATAATAATTTAATAGATTTAAATAAAAAGTAATAAATTAAATGATCCTTGATTGTTCTTTGCTTGATTCTTTGACAATTTAATTTCTTTGGAAGCTATAAAGTCTACACTGCATGATAATCTAGCGATAAGATGGTATTCATAGTATGAAAGCAATAAAACATTTTAATCAGTGAAATTCATTACTATTTAAGGTTCAATTTGAAGGATTTTTCTTGTAAATTTATATTTGCTTGCTTATTCTGTCTCTCCTAGTTTAAATTATTCACCTGAAGAGATACATTTTTGCAAAATAATTTTATTCAATGTTTCTTTACGTTCTGTTTTGTCACATCCAATTTGTGGATTTTTTTTGTATTAAGTGTGGCTGGAACACAAAGCAAAGAAACTATCTAACTTTGTTTTTTTGTAAAACACAAGGCAAAGCAGAATTAATTGCATTTTACACTCTAAAATAAGCATAAACACTGGCTTTGGTACTTAAGTCCAACAAAATAGCAAAGGTGAAGCTGACTGAACTGAGCTGATCTCGATTATTAATGATTGTTGTGAAAAATGATTGTTAATTAATGAAGTTACAGATGTGTGTTCATTTTTATTTGTGACAGTATTCAATTTATTTTCTTTAGTCACTAATGGATTCTTCCATACAGTCTGTCTAGGACAGGCATGAAACTGCAGCACATTAAGACATCATCTGGCATATAACATATGGTTTATTGCTGTCTTTTCCAATCATCCTTTTGGTTTACCACCCAATCATCCCTTTTATTCCAATTAACTTCTTTACATTTACTCTAATTAAAGCATATTTAATTTATTTAAATATTGTTATTCGAAGTCTAAAACTTCAGCATGCATAAACATTTTTAGAGATAGGTTATGCTTACTATGTGGCATGCAGACTCAAAAGATTTGTCATTCCTGGCCTAGGATGTGACAACTTGATATTCTTATATAAGGATGTGTCAAAAACAAAACAGTACAGTAAAGCATTGCAGGTCTAAATCCAGCATAAACTAAAATTATTTTCTGTCTAAATTTTATGTTGTTAGTCTTAATTTTTAACTAAATAGCAGCACTTCGTGCTGCCAATTTGTCTTGTTGCTAATGCCATCTAGTGGGAAGTTTTGTTAAGTGATCAGACATTTGAAGAAAGCATTTGGTATGGCTGATAATTATCATAGGCTGCTGATATAAGCAAACAATTTAGAACAACAGTAGTAGTCTATTCTCTCTACTCATAGCTTCTTGATAAGAAGCACCAAGTTCAGTATTAATACGATTTTTCTTATATCGCAAGTACTTTCGACGAGTATTATATCGTCGTCCTTTTTCGTCTGAGGACGACGATATAATACTTGTTGAAAGTACTTGCGATATAAGAAAAATCGTATTAATGCTGAACTCAGTGCTTGTTATCAAGAAGCTATACAATTTTGGCGTGAGTGTTATTTATTTATCTATTTCTCACTACTCATATTATACCATCTGAATTATAAGTAATTTAATTAATAATATGTAATTAAAGCCATTATTAGTCATTTTATTTATACATATAAAGTGCCATTATTTCATTGAATGTTGTCTGTTTAAAAATTTCTTTAGCTTCATTTCATATACCTAAGATTTAAAATAAACTACAAAAACTGAAGTAATGCAAATACATTTTTTTGTAAAAGAAAATGTATAATAAAAACATTTATACTTTTGACATATTTTTTCATTATTATTATTTTAAACTATTTTATAAACTATAAATTCAGGTACACTAGTAATATATGCAAAATGTATTGAAGAATTTGCAAAGTTTGGAATAAAAAATACTAGTGTGTACTTTATGTTTGCAGGATTTAAATCAGGCTACTTTACCATTACTATTAATAATTAAATACTAAGTAATTTGGAACTACTATAGAGGTAGTGTTAGGTGCCATCTTATTAAATTTAATAACTGTAATTAAAGTAATATTTATTAAATTTAGAATATCCTGGAAGAAAAGAATTGGCCTGGAGCGGGATTTGAACCCGCAACCANCGGGGGGAATATCGAAAAATCCCTTCTTAGTGTACATTCTGTTGACGTACCCTATTAAAATGCAATCAAAAATGCAAAAAACCGCATCTAAAATAGTATAAATAGAAGCAGAGTTCTTTACGGTAAGCCTTCCCCGTAAGGCTTACCGTAAATAACTGTCCATTCCCCATGTTTAACGGAATAATATACAGCCTATGTCCACCCTAAAGTTCCATTCTAAATATTGGTAAAAAATTTTTGAAATCGGATAAGTAGTTTCGGAGATTACCTGCTGCATACAAACTAACATATATACATACAAACATTACCTCTTTATAATATTAGTATAGATATCCTCTGCTACAGCACACACTTGCTAATCCGAACTAGTTACTGTACAAGATTCTTCAAATTTGAGAAGTTATACATAAAGAAAAGGAAGTGAAAAAAGGACAAGAGACAAATATACGCACAGTTTATAATTTTTTATACTGTATTTGATACATATTTAAGTTGAAATGTGTAGTACATATTAATTTCACAAATTTTCATGTTCTAAAAAATAATTTGCAGTTTTTTTATATTTGACTAAAAAATTTAATGGTAGAATGAATAAAATTGGCTTGGATAAGACGAGTTTGGATTAGCAAGAGTACACAGTAATGTGAACTATCAAATATAATTACTGCATAAATTAAATATTCTGTAAACTGTCATAAATGCTGTTTTTTAAAATAATTTATTGATATTAAGATATTTTATAAATAATACTATTAATATATTTTAAATTGTCCAATAACCACACTGCAGTTTTACTAAACAGATGCTAGACTTGAGCAAACTTTTTTATTTAAATGAAGATACAAAATTCCAGGCAACATGCATTTCCTGTCTTTTTCCAAAACAACTCAGTTTCAGCTGCCTTTTTAACTCACTGATGCCCATTT